TATAGTTTTTGCTATACATTTGCTCCTAAAGACCTAAACTAGGAGCATTCAATACATTTCTGTGAATCATATGATTATGTTTTCTATTTCCTGAGCAATGAGGATCAATATTTCGACAAGCCTTTGGCATTGTATACCTTCAATTGAGTCCCGTAGCATTCAGCTTTTGTCATGCAGCTGGCTCAACTCAAATTTCGAGTTTTGTTTGTGTCACATTAACTAGATGACTTTTATAGCACAGTCATTCATAAGGCTACACCCGTTATATTGCGAGTAATTATCCTTCCTTAAGTTTCATAAATGTACCTTCTATCGAATCTCGTAGCATTCAGCTTCTGTCATGCAGTCTCAAAGCATATAGCTCTGTTATACTTTCGCTAGAAGACCTAACCTACGATCATTTGCATTTCTGTATATCATATAATTATGTTTTCTATTTCGTGAGCACTAATCAATATTTCCACAAGCTTCATAGCAATATTCAGTCTTTGGCATTCATGTGAAGGTACATGGAGTCTCGTAGCATTCAGCTTTTGTCATGCTGCTGCCTTAACTCAAGTTTCGAGTTTCGTTTGTGTCACATTAACTAGATGACTTTAGTCACAGTTTCATAGTTATTCATAAGGATACACCCGTTATTTAACGAGCAATTATGATCCTTCCTTAAGTTTCATAAATGTACCTTCTATCGAATCTCGTAGCATTCAGCTTCTGTCATGCAGTCTCAAAGCATATAGCTTTTCCTATACTTTCGCTAGAAGACCTAAACTAAGATCATTTGCATTTCTGTGTATCATATAATTATGTTTTCTATTTCGTGAGCACTAATCAATATTTCCACAAGCTTCATAGTAATATTCAGTCTTTGGCATTCATGACTCATGGAGTCTCGTAGCATTCAGCTTTTGTCATGCAGCTGCTTTAACTCAAGTTTCAAGTTTCGCTTTTGTTACATCACTTGAAGAGATGTGCCCTCATTCATAGGGTTATATGTTATATATATATAGTGTTATTTATTTCATATATATAATTTATAATTCCAACACTTATAGCCAATATAGTTTTTCCCGTTTTCCTTTAATTATTTTCATTATCAGGCAGAGGGCACACACCTTCAGCCAGCTTCCATTGGCTGCCTTTTTGTTGGCATGCATATTTTCCTGTTGGCAATAAAATTTGTTATGCTCCGCTAAGGCGGTTGCCACTGCCTGCAGCCGGCTGGCGCTTGCAGAAAACCTGCACCTTTATTTATATGCCGCAGTATTTTATTTTATTTATTTATTTTTTTTTCTCTTTTTGCTGCGCCTGACCTTTGGCGGGGCCTATCGATTGAATGCGGAGGTGGGTGTGCCGTGCGACGCCTTGTGTTTGCCTTTATTTTCGTGGCAGCTGAAATGCCAATATTATTTCTTTTTCTTGTTGTTTTTGTTTTATTGGGGCGTTGCCAATACCTAACGAACATTGCCTGCCTACCTTCATTGTTTGTCCAGAAATTGAACGAACAATTTCTCTGCACGAATCTTATTTTTATCAGCAGGCGAACAAAAACAAAAAGAAAAGAGAACTAGACACCATCAAAATAAAAGCAATGCAATTAAAACGCCAACTCAAAGTTTGAAAGTTGAAACAATAAAAACAAAACAAAATTTACAACAATTTTGCGGCTGGCAAATAAATTTCCCTGTCAAGTTTGTGGCTTAAGTCTTTTGTTTTCCCAGCATTAACTTGAAACAAAAACGGGGTCGGTCATCTAGAAGATTTGTTCCGCATGCGGTTTGAATTCTTAAAAACAAGTTTATTTTTTAACAAAAAACAAAAAAAATAAACCCACAAAAATTACCGAAAAAAAAACATAAACTACAATAAAACGATTCATGCCACAAATTAGAATAAATGTTTCTTGATGGAAGGTCTCTGCGGCCAAACTGAAATCACATGGAGCAAATATCAAATTGTCTTTCTGGAGGCCAAAAGCAAAAAATAATTGCCAAAACAGTTTTTCTTTTTCTTTTCCTTTTTTTTTTTGGTAACACTTGTTGAGTGGGAGACTTGCAGTCATGTTTCAGTTACGGCATGAATTTTAATTAAAATAAAAATAAACTGATGTCTTCCAATGAAAAAAAAAAAAAAAAAAAAAATGACAGTCAGACTGAGACAGAAGCTCGTGAATTTTTCCGCATTGCGCTGAGGCTTAAGAGTGGAATTATCACACATAAATCACAACGAACAGTCGAGCGCGGGCCGCCAAGAAGTCGCAAGCGGTCAAATCTTTTCTTTTCGCCTGTCGCCCGACATGACATTTCACTTTCATTTCCGAAGTCTCTCGGCGTGTGTGTGCCTTGCATTCAAATCGTTTTTATTTTGCTGTTCCTACAGTAATTCGCATTCGGTAATAAATGCCCGAAAGTAAAATGTATCGAACGTTTGTCTCTAAACTTGGCAACTTGAAATCAAAAAACACAAAAATCAAAATTAAATTAAAATAACCTAGTAAGAGCTTACAATAATAAAAAATTCACTTGCACATGAGCTAACGCCCCCTGCCATTGGGCATATAATTATCTCTGTGTGTGTGTGTRTGTGCATTTGTGCACCACTGTGAATAACAGTTAATGTGTAGAAGCAAGGCAAAAGAAAGCGCGCACTCATAATTGAAATAAGTCACGTTCATGTTCATGGCAGAGTCACAGATACGAAAAATGATTTGTGATACGATATACATATACACATATGTATATATATGTATGTATGTCTACCTCTCCGAGTTTAATTGAAAATTAAATGATTTTTACCTTAAACGAAATTTGAATAAAAGAAAAACTCTTGCGCAGGCATCAATATCGAATCGAAAGCCTATTAAATACATAAATTATACAATCCGAATTGAAATTTCTATTAATAATAATTACTTTGCATCTGGGCTTTATATAATATACATCTCTGGCTAAGACCATCAATTGTCGCTTTAGTGTCAACAGCTGTCGTTGTCGCTTATCTGCCAGCAGCTGCTTTATATAAGCCGATTTCCGCACGTCCTTGACTTTACTTAGTTTTGGTTTCAATTTTGTTTTTGTTTTAGCCAGGCAATTGCATAACGAGAAATGTAATTCGAATGAAGCTTTGCACAGTAGGCCAAACGCAAACAGCTTGGCTCTCTAATCTATTTATCACATGGCCAATTAATTTTGATTAGATTCGCAGCTAATACACTAAAAAACAGAAACAAAAACAAAAACCACTAACGTCCAACGAAGCGCAGCTAAAGCGAATGCTGATAAGAAAATAAAATAAAGCGGAAGACAAAGCTCGACAAAAAAGTAAATAAATAACGAGTTGAGTGGCTCTGGATAAAACTGCTAGACGAGCGAATACCCTGTGCGCCAATTGGCAATCACAAAGAGAAGCTCGAGTTTTTATCTGTATCCAACTATAGAGAGTGAATAGCTCTCTATGTTACATCTAGTTTAGTGTAATAAATAGAACTAATGTTTGTAGGTGTTACGAGAGTCCACGTAAAGAACTTCGTACCCGAAGATCAAGATCAAGAGCAGGCAAACAAGATCGTGCAATCAACATGAAGAGATCAAATCTTGACCCCTTTATTTTGCTTTCTTGAGCTTGCTCTCTTGATCTTGATCTCTTGATCTTGAGCTCTTTATCTATGTGCTCTAAGTTTTCGCGGTTCAAGAGATCAGGCGTGTAAGAGCAGCCAGAGGAGCGTAAATAAAAATGAAACAATAATTAAAGAAAAAAAATATTTCAATTAAAAAAATATATAATAAAAATCCGCAAAGCGGAAATATTTAAAATTGTAACAAATAAATTTCAGTAAAAAAGAGGGACTATGAAAAAAAAAATAATAAATGAATACCAACAAATTTTCTTATATTTTTCTATAAATTCACATAGAAGATTTTAGGCATTTAATATAAGAAATGTAAATAAATTTAATAATATTTATAAATTTAATAATATATATTCATTTGAATGTGTATAAAATGAATAAATGTGAATAAGGAATACTAGGTAATACGAGAGGCATTTGAATATGGATTTATTGGAGCGGCATTGGGAGTTACACTTCTTTCAGCTTAATATAAATGTTCGTGTTCGTTCATGTCAACTCTCACTGAGCTCACGCTCTTTGGGTTCGTAACACCCGAGCTCGCTCTTCATGGGCTCGTGCCACCCGAGCTCGCGCTCAATAGGGCGGGCCCTGTAGACTCGCTCACTGTGCTGAGCAAAAGCAGAGTCAACACAATGACTATTTTATACCGAAAGAGAGCAGCTTAACGTTGTGTTCGTGATTTTTCCAACAAATTCAATTTTATATTTCTAATCGCAATAATTTTTGAGAGCACAATAATAATGGACAAGCAGAAAAATATTTCTTTTATAATTAAATCATGATCTTGATTGCAAAGACACGCAGGAGATTTAATTAAACATATATACCACATACCCGGACTATATATTTATATATTAAATATACTCATATACAAGCCTCATCTATTCTATCAATAAACTTTTAAAAATAACTACACACTCCATCAAGCAACTACAGTCTACAGGGTATTCAAATAAAAGCATACCAAAATCCAAGCACGAATCAAATAAGAAAAGCAAATAAATGTTACGAATCATGATGTAACAATGAAAGTGCAAGAAACGCTCAAGAAAAACCAATCAAAAGCGGAAAAAAAGGGTAGCCACAGAAACGTGATCAATAGCAACAGCGCAAATGATCATGTCAAAAGCAATAACAACAATAAATGCTATCAAATGACTCGGGGAGTGGCCGAAAGCCCATTAGAATTTCGGATAGCTTGAGTTTGGGTTCCGTAAAATATGAGCTCATCTTAAATATAAATATATATATATATTTATAGAGCTTACAGACAGGCAAAGCAGGACCACTTACTGTTTCAATAACTCAGGATTTACAGGGTTCGTCATGGATATATATATATATTTATCTATTTAAAGTATTTGGAACTCACCTTCTCATCGAGGATCTCCTGCAGATCGAGGCCATGTGTGGCATTCGACTCGCTGCCCACCGACCACATGCGCAGCTCGTGCGGCGCCCCCTTAAAGAGGCCCTGCGTGGCACGCAGCGTGAGATTGACGGGATTGCCGAAGGCGCTGAAGGAGACATTGTGCGCCTTAATGGAGCTGATGTCGTCGCCAAGCAGATGATTCTTGCTGCTGCCAGTGGCCGCCTGTTGCTTCAGCTCACTGTAGTAGGCATTCTTGCTCAGATCCTTCTTCACATGATGCGGCTTGGGTGCATTGCTCCCATTGATGCGTTCGTCGAGGCTGCGACGCTTGCGCTGCAGACCGCCGTGCGACGAGTGGTGCAGCAGCTGGACGAGCTCATAATGCGGCACGGCGTCGTGTGTGTCCACATGGAAAACTGAATTCAGTTGCTCTGGCGACATTTGTTTGTGCAGCTAAAAGAGAGAAAGAGAGAGAGAGATGTGAATAAAGTATTTGAAGTGATACAGCAGCCAGCGGGCTGCTACAAATTGTAGCAATTGTTAAAGTATCCATTGAGAAATTATCAATAATTCAATGCAATAAAGGCCTGCCATGGGCACAAGTGTTTATACGGCTCTAGTTGAATACGCTGTTTTTTTTGTTTGCACGGGCACTCAAGTGGTCGAAAGATTAACGACTGAGATGAACTCAACGGAGCTCAACTGAACTCAGCCGAGCTGAGTCGAGGTGCGCGAGTATCTTCAGCAAGTGGGTCAGGGTCAGAGCGTCGCATGCCGCCTGGCAGCGGGTAGCTGGAGGGGTTGAGGCGGGGTTGAGGAAAACCCAAGAAGCAAACAAACAAACGGCTAAAATCGTTTGCGTGTACTGTTATCGCCAGTGCGTGTAGACAGACAAAAACAACAACAACAACAACAACGAACCACTCGTATTGAGAGCACAATAATTGCATATTTTAATTAATAACAAATTCTGTTTTTATTGTTTTTAAATGTGTTTTTAATTTGCACGCAATTATTGCTGCTCACAATGCTAACCAGATCAGATTGATTTGCAGATTATTTATAAATATACAAGATATTGTCTAGGAGGTTTCCTTGAAAGAGTTGACTAGATTTTATTTATAAAATTTGACTTATTGACTGCATTTTATTTATAACTATTTCTAGTTTTTAATTTTTAATTTTTATTTTTTTTTTTAAATTTATATCATTGATGATAAATGAAATTGGGATTGATCTAAAATCATACAAAAAGCGAGCTTAAGATATTAAAAGATTGAAAAGGTTTGTCTAACATGTTAATATATATCGTATAAATTGAAATCTTATTCTCTGTAAATAGCGAGACCCAAAAATCTACAGCTCGTATAGAAAGAATGCAAAGCTTTCTTTCTATGCTAAGTAATCTATTTAATTTGCATATTACTATTCTCCCAGGGTATCTACTAGTCGGGTATGGTCTTCATTAGCTTAAAATTCCCGTATAGCTTATTCCATTAGGCTTCTTTCCAAGCACTCCTATATTTTCAGACCGTCTCTAGGTCGGACACGCCCTATCAGAACACATTGAATATTTTTATTATCTATTATACTATAGGCGAATTTCCTCTAGGCCTTCTCCTAGTCACATAAATTCATGTTTTCCCATTCCTAAACCTTCTCTCACTTCTGTCAATTAGCCTTACTTGTCTCATATGCAACTGCTCGTATAGCCTATACCTCTAGGGTATCCCATATCCATTACTACTCTTCCAGAATACCTCCTAGTCCAATATTCCCCACAAAAATACATTCCTTACTTTTATTTTAGTTCAGTCAGCATTTAATTTCTGCCAATTAGTTTAACTTGTCTTATATGTTAATTCTCGCCTGAGCCCATTTCTCTAGGGTATCTGCCAGTCACACAGCGCCGACTGAACCAATTTCAATTGCCCAACACGCTTTTAGCGTGAAATCCAAAAAATAAAACCGAAACTATTAAGCCACTTAGTTGTGCCAAATAGCCTTTGCTTTATGAATGTGTTTTCGATTTTCGATATTCCTTTTTAACTGGGTTATATAGCAACCATGCTCACATCTATAGCCGCATTTCCGTTTCCAATTGTTTTTTCTCTTAGCTGTTTTTAGCTCAAATATTTACCGCATGTTTGGATGCCAAGCGGCGGCAACAAATCGCCAATTCGCAAAATTTGTTACAGGGTCAGAGCAGACTAGAATTTCCTTTAACAGCCAACCGAACAACTGACACAGGCCGGCAGGCAAAAAAACAAAAGACTTAGGCAGCGAACTTGCTGCACGCTGCAAGCGAGCCAAACAAACAAAAGCCAAGAAAAAACTTTGGCCGGCAATTTAGGCAAATTTCTGGCATTTTATACGGCTGCAAATGGTGCACCGCACTGAAATGACTCAAAAATTGTACAGCAAATGATGACAACAACAGCAGCAGCAGCAGCAACAACAACAACCGCAAACAGCTAAGAAGAAGACAAGGTAAACAGCATAGATTCAGCTAGCATAGACAACAATTTTTTTTCTGTTTTCTGTTTGCTGCTTTTTTTTTCATTGTTTGTCTAGTAAAAATGTTGTCGTCTCTTGTATAACAGTTAGCATGATAATTCTATTTTAATTGAATTGCGAACGGCCGGCGAAATGAGCGCCTCGACGCAGCGACAGGTGAACAAACGCAAAGAGCAACTGCGAGCGAGAGGCAGACACAATGCCACAAGAGTTTTTACTTTCATTTGAAACGTGTTTTGGTCATAGACGATTAGAGTGTACGAGAGTGAGAGAGAGAGGGAGAAGGTGAGAGACTGAGATGCTGCAGCAACTCCTGGGGGTCGACTCTTGAGTAATATTTGTTGCCCACTGAAAGTGAAAATGAACTCGAGTTTCAGCTGACTCGAAATTATTAAATCGAATGTATAGAGGAATGATGATGTTGTTGCTGCTACACCTGTTGTTGCTGTTCTTGCTGTTGCTATTCCAACGGCAGTTGTTACTGTTGCTGTGGCTACTCCTGTTGCTACTGTTGATGCTGCTGCTGTTGCAACTCCTGCTGCTGCTATTGTTGCTGCTGCTGTAGCTGCAGCCGTTGCTACTTCTGCTGCTCCTGTTGACGCTGTTGTTGCTACTCTTGCTGCTTCTGCTGCGCCTGTTGTTGCTGTTCCTGCTGCATCTGCTGCTGCTCCTGGTGCTGCTGCTGCGCCTGTTGTTGGTGTTGTTGCTACTCCTGCCGTTGCTATTGCTTTCCCTGCTGCTGTTGTTGATGCTGCTATTGCTCCTCCTGCTATTGCTGTTGCTGCTGCTGCTGTTCCTGCTGTTCCTGCTGTTTCTGCTGCTGCTGCTATTGCTTTTCCTGATGCTGTTGTTGCTACTCCTGCTGCTGCTGCTACGCCTGTTGTTGCTGTTGTTGCTACTCCTGCCGTTTCTATTGTTTTCCCTGCTGCTGTTGTTGCTGCTGCTGCGGCTGCTCCTGCTCCTGCTGCTATTGCTTTTGCTGCTGCTGTTGTTGCTGCTGTTGTTGCTGCTGTTGTGGCTGCTTCTGTTGCTCCTCCTGCTGTACCTGTTGTTGCTACACCTATTGCTGCTGCTGTTAACGCTGTTGCTGTTGCTGCTGCTTCTGTCTCTTCATTTATTATACTTCAGCTGCTGCTGCTCTTGCTAATCCTTTTGCTCTTGTTGCTGCTGTGGCCACTCCAACTGCTGCTGCTATGTTTGTTTCTTAGGGCTTGACTTCCTGACTACACATTCATATATTGAGAGCGCTGCACCTGCAGCAAATTTACAATTTGCAATATGCTAATGCCAAATGGGGCCACACCCCAAACACCAAGCGCCAATCTGCACTTGGTCAGTTTGTGGCCAGCTTGTGAGGTGGGTAATGTAGAGGGGTAGGAGGGGGGCAGCCCTTGCTGCCAATTAATTGCATTTAATGGGAGGTAACAGCAAATTATGCAAAAGCCATTTGATGAACAAGATCAGCGCCAGCGATTAAGCTTAGCCAAGCCAGGGCTGGCAACGCAATGCAAATGAATCACTGAACAAAGAGAAGGCGAGCTTTGTTGTTGGAGTCAATTCAATTATATTGGAATGGGAAATAAATGCTGGTATTTTAAGTGGAATTGTGTTGAGGGAACTATTAATTGGAATTGTACAATTAAAATAAAAATACTAATAAAAGAATATTAGAGTTTAATATAAATGAGTTATACGACTTTATTTAGCTATTGAATTAAATAAAATCATAATAGAATAGAATTGAAGTCTTTTTAAGATTTTCATTTTAATGCAACTGAATTTCATGCAAATTTTACAGAGAAAAAAAATTTCAGAGCAGCAGCTAACAGATCCTAACAATCCAATTGAAATCTCGGATTTATTCAAATATTTTCCGCATTGACTTCCTCTCTGTAAATCACATTTTCACACACGTCAAATATCAAATATTTTTCAAATTTTAAGCAGCTATCAAACGTAAGTTGTCCAGTTGAGTTAAAGCTGCGTGAAGCGTATATTTATTTCTTCACTYGCTCTCCCTCTCCCTCTCCCCCTCTCTCTCTGCACTTTTAGTTATCTAAAAATCAAAAAATATGTTTACATCCGGCTTAGAGAGATGCTTTATTTATTAACCAACTCGCTTTGGTTAACGGTTCGGTTCGGTAGGAAGAAGTAAATTTGCGAATCGATTGACAGCCTTGTTTCAATCACTCGATTACTTCAAGTAGTTGTCATTTGAATGTCACACGGCTTCAGAAAGAGCTGTGAACCAGTGAGCTGAATCCCAGCTAATCATTCATCGATGGCTCAGAGCAACAACAACAACAACAACGACAACGACGACGGCGACGGCTGCTGGCGATTTGTCCAAGCGGCGCGCGCTTTAATTTTCGACGGGGTGCAATGACGGATATTGTGAAATTTGTGTTTGTAATTTGTATAGTTGCTGTTGTTGTTGTTGCTGTTACTGCTGCTGCTGTTGTCGTTGTCGTTGTTTGCTGCTCGTTGTCCGGTTGTTGTTGCTGCTGTTTTGTGCGCGCAATTACTGAAATTGTGTGATTACTCATACGCCCGATATAACCGGCATGGTAGCCGCGCGCTTCGACGGCGACTCTGGCTGCCAGCAGCAGCTCAAAGTAAAAGGTGTAGCCGCCATATTAGCGCAAAAAGTGTGCTTCAAATTGGCCACGGGGAGGCCAATACTCTGTTTATGGCATAAACACACACAAATACACACACTCACACACACAGAGACTACTTATCTCTGTGCGTTGTGCAATTTTCATGCACCGGTCAAAGTCAACATCCAAATCGATGGCTCTCTCAATACGAATGCTCGCCGGAGTGTCACTCGACCTTATGCCAAAGCAAATCATATAAAGAAATTATATACTTCAGCCAAGCGCAACTTGACTTACAGATCAAGCAGCTGGTAATAGTAATAATCATAATCATAATAATCATAATCATAATCATAATCTTAATATGTATGGCTACATTTTATTTACGGGGGTATCTTTTCGCTGGGCTTGTTGACCTTGCCGCGCCTGAGAAACGCCGGAAATTAACAAATGCTTTTGCTGGCGCCAACTTGGATTGTTATTTTCAATCCGCTCCACTGTTTTCTGTGTTTTCTGTGCAGGCGCCAAAATTAACAAAGTGTGAAAAGTTCAGAGTGCCATAACATCAGCAAACTTTGGAGACGTCTGAGACGGCGCCTAATGCGAAAGTTACATCTCTCTCTCTGTCTCGCGCGTTCAATGTCAACCGCAGCTAGACAGATTTGGCTTTTTTAGGTTTTAGCTATAGAAAGTCTAAGTACTCTATGATCTTTGATCTTGAATACTCCCAATGGAAAATTCATTTTTGCATTAACTCATATAAATTTCCTGATTCAGCTATCCCAGTTATCTTTAGAAAATTACTCAGAGACATGCTCAACTATATATATATATATATATATATACACACACACATACATACACAATACACTCACTTGGGCATTGGCGGGAACGTGACCCAATCTGAAGAGATAAAAGTCAAGCGTGACAAACAGCAGCCAGAGCCAAAGAGTCTGACAAGCAACAAGCAACAACAACAACTAGCAACAACAACAAATCGTGCCACACAAATTGCCAACGCCAAAGTTCTTGATTTCACAATTAAAAGGCTCAAAACTGCGGCTAGGGAAGAGGAAGACAATTTCATATTTTTATTTTTTCTTAAATTCTTGACAGCACATGAAATATATATAGTCCAGCAATAACAACAACAACAACAATAACAGAAATGACAACAACCACAACCAACTGCAATTGCGGCTGACTCATAACGGTTCGATTCTAGCCAAGTTTTCGTGCTGCTTGTCTCAGCTGTTGGCCAGTTGCTTTTCATAATTTTGCTTTATGCTTCGTTGCGATTTGAAGGGCCTCGTCATAGTTTTTGTCTAGAGTTTTATGATGCTGCTGGCACGCAAAAAGTCAACTTTAATTGCAGTCTTAGTTGCAATCGGATACTTCGACTCAGTCTTGACTCTCGGTCTATGTTGCAAGCGGCTTCTCGGAATAATATATTCAAGCACGTGTTGAAATATAGCCATCTACATCTATAGCCAACAACAACAGCACTGCTCTCGCACTGGTAGTGTCAAGGAAATGACAGCAAATTCAAAAAAATACACAACTTATCGCTCGCATTGGAAGTAAGCTGTTGTACAATGCTGGCATCAATTGAGAGATCTATACTTGAGCTTGACAGAAGTCAGTTAAGCGTAGATATGCTAGTAGAGATCGAAATATAGCCATTTACTAGTTGGTAGTGAAATATAGACATTCAATATACAACAACTATGCTCGCTGCTAGGGCTGACTCTGGGAAGGAGTTCTACTGCTTGCAGATCCTCTTATATAGAAGAAGAAAATGACTTCTGATTTATTCTCTTTCAAATTCCAATTGGAAACATACAAATATGTTCCAGGCTTTTCTGATGGTATAGACAGCTTTTTCATTTCGCTCCCTCTCTCTCTCTCTCTCCCTCGCTCTCTCTCTCTCTCTCTCTCTCTCTGTCTCTGTCTTCACAGCCGACGTTGAGAGAGCTGTTCAATATTTACAATCGTTCTCAGCATACAAAGCCATCGAGTATAGATGCATTTGGGCTCTATGCTCCCATTACTCGCCGTGGCTGACCTTGACATTCATATTCTTAAAGGTAAAGATAAGAAGAATATTGCTAGCTAATGACAAAATATAATATAAATCAAAACTTTAGCCAGCGAATTTCCTTATAGCTCAATTAGATATATTATAAATATAAATTCTTTGCTATAAAAACTATACATATATTTAATATGATATTTCGTATCATGATATATGAATCATTTCATACCTTATATATCAAAAGAAAAATATTCAGCTTACACCATAAAGAGGCTGAAGACTTGTCAAACCCCTTACCCACCTAATCGATTAACTCTATAAGTTGATACCTGGAAAATAGGTTAACATAACATACGTCTACAACCACAATTTTCAACTGTAACTGAAGAAAATTTGTTACATTATAAAACCGATTTAATTGTGCTCAGTGACTAAACAAATATTGAAAAAAAAAAACAAGCAAACAAGGCGCTTGTCTTCAGTTCGAAACAAAAATCCGCTTAACAAGCTTCAGCTTTCAGCTCCAAGTAAAACTCTCACTGTTTTCAGTTAAAGAACACGGTAGCCGTGAAGGGAAAGGGGCGTGTCTCTGGCACAGCATGAAATTCAAAAGAAAACAACAACCACAACAACAACAACATTCAACGTAATCAAAAGGCAAACACTGAAATTCGAAATTCACTTGAAATGATTACAAGAACATTTTACATTTGACCTTGGCCATAATTTGTTGGCGAAGCTTTTTTTTTAAGTAAATACATACATACCTGCATATATACATACATATATATTTTTCTACGAGACAAAAGCTGAGCGTGCGTTTGTTTTTTCAATGAGAGCTGCACACAGACACAGCATATGCATATATGTATATATATAAGTGTGTGTGTGTGTGTGTGTATGTGCTTAATAACAATGCCATTTGTATCTTGCGGGCGTTGTTGAGGGCGTAGCAGACACAGAGAAGAAGAGAGAGAGAGAGAGACAGAGAGCGAGTAATGCTCGTATAACTGAATTCCCCGCGTCTTTTGCTCGCTTTAAATAGTTTTGTAATTTAATTAATATACAAAAAATGTTTTTTTAAAAATGCTAATTACGCACAATGCGACTACGAGCCATAAAATGACAATGAATTTCATTTCTGGCGGTCGTTTGTTGTTGTTGCTACTGTTGTTGCTACTGTTGTTGTTGTTGTCCTCTGTAAGCATTCAAATGTCAAATAAAAAACAGTTAACTGTCATTGTCTTATGGAGTGCCCCTCGAAAACAATTGCATTGAATTGATTGATGAGTTGTTCTGCGGCTAAACGTGTCGAGCCTATATCTATATAGCTCAAGGCACTATCGCATATCAGGGCTAAGACTGCCCACAGTTAGATACTTACATCTGGCAGTGCCTCGCATATTGTGCTGGCCAATACAAGCGCTATGATCGAGCCAAATATTGAGAACATTTTATGTGGTCTGTATTGTGGGGATTGCTTTAAAGAACTTAGGCTGCAAAAGAAAAGGAAAAGAGAGAAAAACAGAAAATATTTAGTAAAATAAATTAAAATATTTAAGGAAAAAAAAAAGAAAAAACAAGAATAACTATAAATTAAGAAATATATATAAAACT